CCGTGGGCTCAGGCAATCCATTCACCTCAGCCTCCCAAGGCGCGGGATTACAGGCTGAGCCACCGAGCCCGGCTTAAATTTTTAAATTTTATTTTAAAAATCAAGATATCACAAAATTGACTTTTTCTCCTTTTGACATCAGTTATATGAATTTTAGCACATGTATGAATTTGTGATTATTACATAATCAAGACACAGAACAGTCCATCCATAAAAACCCCCTCATGCTATCCCTTTAATAATCATACCCTTCTCCCATATTTTAAAGCAAATCCTAGATATCACATTATTTCATCTGCAAACAGTTTAGCATGTATTCCTAAAATATAAGAACAATATAATCTATTCAATATTATCATACCAAAAATTAATAATAATTTAATTTCAGCAAATATTAGTTCAGTGGTCCAATTTTCCCAGTCGGACTATAATATTATTTTATAATACAATAAGAATATTTTGTTATACTTGTTTAAACTGAGCTCCACACATAGTCCAAGTCCTGCAACTGGAAGATACACTGTCTTCTCATCTACAGGTCCTTTTCTCCTCTTTCAACAGGCATGCCTCATTTTATTGTGCTTCATTTTTTAAAAACTGTGCTCTGTAGATACTGCTTTTTTAAACACACAGATGGAAAGGCTGTGGCACCCTTGCATTGAGCAAGTCTATGAGTGCTATTTTTTCCAATAGCATGTGCTTACTCTGTGTCTCACCTTTTGGTAATCCTCACAGTATTTCAAACATTTTCATATCGTTATATCTATGATGACCTGTGATGAATCACGTTTGATATTATTTTAATTATTTGGGGGTACTATGAACTGCATGACATAAGATGAACTTAAATTTATGTGTGCTCTGACTGGTCTACCTACTGGTTGTTCTATCCCTTCTCTCTCTCCCCTTAGGCCTCCCTGAGACACAACGGTATCGATAGCAGGCCAATTTGTAACCCTACAGTGGCCTTTAAGCGTTCAAGTGAAAGTCGCAGCTCTCTTGCTTTTAATCAAAAGCTAAAAATAATTCAGCTTAGAGATGAAGCCCTCCCCGAGACACAACAGTATCGATAGCAGGCCAATTCATAACCCTACAGAGGCCTTTAAGTGTTCAAGTGAAATAGTCGCACCTCTCTTGCTTTTAATCAAAAGCTAAAAACAATTCAGCTTAGAGATGAAGGCTGCAAGTCAGGGCTCTTGCGCCAGTTAGCCAAGTTGTGAATGCAAAGGACAAGTTCTTGAAGGAAATTAAAAGTGAAAGTCTGGGAACACACAAACAGCAAGAAAGCGAAACGGCCTTACTGCTTACATAGAAAGAGCTGTAGTGGTCAGGACAGAAGATGAAGCCAGAACCAGCATTCCCCTCAGCAAAAGCCTAATGAAGAGCAAGGTGCTGACACTCTTCAAGTCTGTGCAGGCTGAGAGAGTTGAGGAAGCTGCAGAAGAAAAGTGGAAAGCCAGCAGATAGCAGAGGTCGATCCATGAGGTTTAAGGAAAGAAGTCATCGCCAGAACATAGAAGTACGAGGTAAAGCAACAAGTGCCGATGGGGAAGCAAATTATCCAGAAGAGCTAGCTAAGATAGTTAACAAAGGTTGTTACACTAAAACAGCAGATTTTCAATGTGGACAAAACAGCCTTATATTGGAAGAAGATGGCATCTAGGACTTTCACAGCTAGAGAGAAATCAGTACCTGGCTTAAAGCTTCAAAGGACAGGCTGACTCTCTTGAAAGAAGCTAATGAAGCTGGTGAATTTAAGTTGAAGCCAATGCTCACTGACCATTCCAAAAATCCTGGGGCCTTTAAGAAGTAAGTTAAGTCTACTCTGCCTGTGCTCAATAAAGGAACAACAGAGCTTGGATGGCAGCGCTTCTGTTTACAGCATGGTTTACAGAATATCTTAAGCCCACTGTGGAGACCTCCTGCTCAGAAAAAAAGGTTCCTTTAAAAGTATTACTGCTCAGTGAAAAGACACCTGGTCACCCACGAGCTCTGATGGGGATGTACAAGGAGATTAATATTATTGTTTTCTTTTCTTTTCTTTTCTTTTTTTGAGTTGGAGTCTCGCTCTGTCGCCCAGACTCCCGGCCACCGCAGCCTCGACCTGCTGGGCTCTGGCGATCCTTCCACCTCAGCCTTCCAAGTAGCTGGAACTACAGGCATGCGCTACCATGCCCAGCTGATTTTTTGATTTATTGTAGAGATGAGGTCTCACCAAGTTGCTCAGGCGGGTCTCGAACCCGCAGGCTCAGGCAATCCACTCACCTCAGTCCCCCAAAGTGCAGGATTACAGGCTGAGCCACGGAGCCCGGCTTATTGTTTTCATGCCTGCTCATGAAATATCCCTTCTGCAGACATTGGACAAAGAAGAATTTTGATTTCACTGTCTTATTACTTAAATACATTTCATAAGGCTATAGCTTCCACAGACAGTGATCCCTTGAATGAATCTGGGCAAAATAAATGGAAACTATTCTGGAAAGCATCCATTATTCTAGATGCCATTAAGAACACCTATGACTCGTGGGAGGAGGTCAAAATATCAACACTAATAGGATTTTGGAAGAAGTTGATTCCACCCCTCATAAATGATTCTGAAGAGCTCAAGACTTCAGTGGAGAAATGCTTTGCGGCTGTGGCAGAAATGCAAGAGAACTAGACTTAGAAGTGAAGGCTGAGATGTGACCAAATTGTCGCCATCTCATGATAAGGCTTTCATGGATGAGGAGTTGCTTCTTAAGGAGAAGCAAAGAAAATGGTTTATTGTGACAGAATCTACCACTGGTAAAGATGCTGTGAACATTGTTGAAATGACAACAAAGGATTTACAATATTACATAAACTTAGTTGATAAAGCAATGGTAGGATTTGAGGAGACTGACTCCAATTATGAAACAAGTTATACAGTGGGTAAAACTCTACTAAACAGCATTATATACTACAGAGAAAGGACAAGTCAATCCATGTGGCAAACTTCATTACTGTCTTGTTTCAAGAAATTGCCACTGCCACCCCAGCCTTTAGCAACCAGCACTCTGATCTGTCTGCAGCAATAAAAACAGAGTCAAGATCCCGTACTAGCAAAAAGATTTGAACTTCCTGAAGGCTCAGATAATCATCCACATTTTTTTAGCAATAAAATATTTTTATTTAAGGTGCATATATTGTTTTGTTTTGTTTAAAGACATAATGCTATTGCACATTTAATAGACTACAGTATAGTGTAAACACAACTTTTGTAACCCAGGGGACACTTGACAATGTTTGGAGATTTTTTTTTTGAGTTGGAGTCTCACTCTGTCGCCCAGACTGGAGTGCAGTGGCCACTCCCGGCCACCACAGCCTCGACCTGCTGGGCTCCGGCGATCCTTCCGCCTCAGGCTTCCAAGTAGCCGGAATTACAGGCATGTGCTACCATGCCCGGCTGATTTTTTGATTTATTGTAGAGATGAGGTCTCGCTGCCCAGGCGGGTCTCGAACCCATGGGCTCAGGCAATCCCCTCACCTCAGCCTCCCAAAGATGTGGGATTACAGGCTGAGCCACCGAGCCTGGCGGAGATATTTTTTATTGTCACAACTATAGCTTCTATTTCTACCAAGTGAGAATGGACCAGAGATACTGCTATACATCTTACAATGTACAGGTCAGTCTTCCACAACAGAGAATTTTATATGGTCAAAAATGTCAATAGGGATGAGGCTGACAAACCCTAATTTTGAATTATAAGCCCAGAAACACTACATTTGCTTTAAATGCTATTCTCTTCTAAAGCAAACTTACATGCTTCCATTCCACAGGATCACTATAATTCTGAAATGATCACATACCAATTAGTCAAGTAGGTCAGTTTACTGAATTACTTGGAGTAATTAACTGAAGTGATTATTTTAAAAAAGGAAATAATGGAAAGAAAGGGAAAGACGAAAGAAGGCAAAGGGGGTAGGAGAGAGTGGGAATGAGATAGAGGAGAAAAGAAGAAAGGAGAACCATGAGTATGTTGTGGTTATGTCCCCAAATCTGCATTAGAAAAAAATAGCAAAATTATTTCTTAAATATATAGTTCTTGCCTACATGAGAAATACTGAGACTAATGGGGGATGGAGGAAATGAGAAAAAGGAATGATTTTTAAAAATATCATATTATAGCTCTGACTATGACCCATTAAGCAGAATTCCTTTTTGTGTGAGTACTTGTCCATCAATTACTAAGTGATGTGGATAATTTTCCATCAAATTAACTTGTTTCTGAAGGAATGATGGCGATCCTCGCTGTAGCAGAAACTTATTTTTTAGTCATCTTGGATTCATTCATCCCACTTCCAAAAATAGCTTGATTTTTATCTGTGGCTATCTCTCTCCCTCTAACTGGATGAAGTCAACTTCTACCTGTGTCTAGGGTGGTAGTATGGCAGGTTTGGCAATCTACACATGGCCACACGTATAGACTCAGACAGTTGGATACAATACCGTAAGTCATTGATATGCATAGATTACTAGGAAAAAAAGACACTGAATTTGAACAAAAATAATATAATCCACATCTGGAACCACAGGAGATGTGTGAGATGGTTCTAGCTCCAAAATGAAGGAGGTGGAGCAGATAGAAAATAGATTCTGACGACTTACTTGGCAATATCATTCCAACACTCCTCAGTTTTATGAGATACTAAATCCTCCTTTTGGCTTAAGTCTTTTTGGGTTTGGATTTCTCTCACTTGTACCCAAAGAAATCAAACTGGTATCTTCACATTTATGTATGGCTCCAGAGAAAATATACAAGTAAACACAGTTCTCAGGTTCCTAGATACATAAGCAAAATATCTGCATACTGACATAAAAATACAGACATCATGGTAAGCAATGTACAACTCATTAGGAAATAAAATCAGGATCAGTGGGAAGAGATTTCCTAATATGAGTCACAGAGTTTGAAAGGGGTCAGGATGGTCTGGCACTATCTGAAAAAAGGTTTTGTTTTGTTTTGTTTTTTGAGTTGGAGTTTCACTCTGTCGCCTAGACTTGGAGTGCAGTGGCTGCTCCTGGCCACCACAGCCTTGACCTGCTGGGCTCCGGCGATCCTTCTGCCTCAGCCTTCCAAGTAGTTGGAACTACAGGGGCGTGCTACCACGCCCGGCTAATTTTTTGGTTTATTGTAGAGATGAGGTCTCGCCAAATTGCCCAGGTGGGTCTCGAACCCGCGGGCTCAGGCAATCCACTCACCTCAGCCTCCCAAAGCGCTGGGTGTTTTTTTTTTAAAAGTTAAACTTCATTTTACTTTAATACATCAGCTGGGGTATTAAGGATGTTACAATAAAAAGTGAAACAAAACTCAACATTTTATTATTATAGAGATGTTGGTGAGGACATAGTTCTTGGTATCACAGATTATTTGCTTTCCAAGGACTCAAGAAATACATTTACTTGAAGCCTCAGAATCAGATAAACTTTTTCTCACAGCAACTGATTTGTTCTCATCACATCATATTTGTAACTGATCAGATTTTTCTTTATACTGGCTGCTAGCTCAGAACCAAATTTGAGGTGGAACCCTTAGCTTTGACATTCCCTTTTAACACAGTCTTTAACAGTTCTGAAACACAAGTATACAAACATACCCCAATAACATCTTTTTTTTTTTTTGAGTTGGAGTCTCACTTTGTTGCCCAGGCTGGAGTGCAATGGCACACTCATGGCCACTGCAGCCTCAACCTGCGGGGCTCAAGCAATCCTTCCGCCTCAGCCTTCTAAGTAGTTGGAACTACACACGTGCACCACCACGCTTGGCTAATTTAAAAAAATTTTTTGTAGAGACAAGGTCCCACCATGTTGCCGAGGCTGGTCTCAAACCCACGGGTGCAGGCAATTCTCTCGCCTCAGCCTTCCAAAGGGCTGGGATTATAAACATGAACCACTGCGTCTGGCTATGAGTGAATTTTTTTTTTTTTTTGAGTCGGAGTCTCACTCTGTCACCCAGGTTGGAGTGCAGTGGCATGTTTACAGCCACTACAGCCTTGACCTGCTGGACTAAGACAATCTTTCTGCCTCAGCCTTCCAAGTAGCTGGCACCACAGGTACACGTCACTACACCTGGCTAATTTTATTTTATTTTATTTTTTACTGTAGGACGAGACCTTGCTAAGTTGCTCAGGCTGGTCTTGAACCCCTGAACTCAGGCAATCTTCTCGCCTCAACCTCCCAAAGGGCTGGGATGACAGATTTGAGCCACTGCACCTGGCTACGAATGTTTATTTATTTTTTGAGTCAGAGTCTCACTCTGTCCTTCAGGCTAGAGTGCAGTGGCATATTCACAGTCACCGCAGGCTTGACCTGCTGGGTTCAGACAATCCTTCCACCTCAGCCTTGCAAGTAGCTGGAAACACAGATGCGTGCCGCCACACCTGGCTAATTTAAAAAAATTTACTGTAGAGATGAGGTCTCGCCAAGTTGCCCAGGTTGGTCTCGAACCCAGGACTCAGGCAATTCTCTCACCTCCTCCTCTCAAAGTGCTGGGATTACAGGCTTGAGTCACAACGCCAGTTCCCCAATAACATCTTGAGGAGTTTTGGGAATAAGGCTGCATATAAATGATGAAGTGAATAACCCATCTGGTGTGTTGGTAAAGCACTCACTATTGTCTTTATAAAATTTACAGCTCAGTTTCCTCTGGCAGAAATTAATTAGACAGGTTAAGTTGCTAACTGGCAAATAAATCTCAGCCTTGTCAGAGTTGTGCAACTTTGCAGTATTCTGTTTCTGAAGTTCAGAAAGTAAGACAGAACTCAAAACTAGATCTTTTTCTTGATTTCAATCTTAGAATAATGTATATTAACATATTAGATTAAAAAAGCCTTTCTTATTCATACTCTTGCCTCTTCTCCATACTGTGGGAGGAAAGAAATAAAAAATTATCATCTTTTAGATATAATCACTCTTAAAATCTGGTCCAAATACTTGATGTATAACTTGAAATATGAGAAGAGTTGGCACTGAAGAAATATTCAGTAGAATGAGTAAATTGTTAATACGTCTTATACCCTGGACAAAAGTTAGGATCTAGACTAGATGTAGGCTGTATTCAAAGAACTTACATGGCTGTATTTTTTATAATACGTCCTTGGTCCATTTTCTGCCCAATGCCATGCACAACAAATACAATATGGGTAGTCTGTGATGGCTTGTCTTCTAATGTGGCTTCTTCTACATAACCTCTATGAAGTCTGGTCCCACTACTTGATGCTGTAGAGAAATTATGATTCTAAGTTTACTATTCATTCTGAGAAACGGCATTTTCACAATGCAAAGAAAAAAAGAAGTAAAAGGACAATTACAAAAAAGTTCAGTGCGGGGGGTGGATAAAATTTGTAAGATGATGTGTACTGATAAGCTCTGACCTCGAGTGAACTGGTCATGACAACAAAGCCAGAAATCATAAGGAAAAAAGGGGGGCAGAAAGGACAAACTGAATACATAAAAATCTAAAACTTCGATATTAAAAAAAGAGAGATTTGTAGCTTCCTGATACAAAAGATGAATGGCAATCCGGAAAGAACGACATAAACTACGGCACTCAATCAGTTGCTGACTTAAGTAGACAAAGAAACTTGCTAATCAAAAAGCAAAAAGGTAATCATTCAAATAGCAAAAGGGGCTAAAGATATGACAAGGTAATTCGCAAATAAATACAACTGACTACTAAACATATACAAATACATTATCATAATACTTTAAGAAAGGGATTGGCAGTAGTGGGAAACTGCCTGGGGAGGG